TACATAACCTAATTTTAATTTTTCTTTAATGTTTCATCATGTAATTAATACTTATTAGACTTATTTTAGCATGATTTAATACTTTTAAATTATGATCGTTTTCATTATGACTTTGCAATATTTGTTTTATATGATGATTTCATTATTATTTTTTATTAAATATTTTAGTGTCATCACTCATCTCATATTTTGTGTTATTTTCTTAAGTAACACCTTAGATAGTTGTATTTTGGTTGGATTAAAGAAATATTTGGAGCACAAGTTAATTATATGTTTGTATGCATAATTTACCGGAAAATCCAAAAACCTGAAAAAATCTGAGGTTTATTAGTTTGGTTTTATTTAAAAATTTAAAAATTCGACACAATGGTTTGGTTTGGTATTTGAAAAATCCGAACCAACCCGAAGTTGAAAAGTCCAAAAAAATCCGAATTTTATTAGTTTGGTTTAATTTATAAATTTAAATATTTTACACAAATGGTTTGGTTTGATATTTGAAAAACACAAACCAACCCGATCATGTACACCCCTAGTTGTGACACATACATTCTCTTTCACTGACTCCACTTATGAGATTATACTTGTATATTATTGTTGTATCTTTTATCACTTATCATAACTAATTAATATGTTTTTGCATCCAATTATTACTTAATCATGGTCAATTCATGTGATTTAGTGTAAATCACCTGATTATGTACTACACCAACCCAACATATACATAATATACGTACGTCTTTGATAACATGATTATCGCAAAGTTATAACTGATGAAGACATATTTTTACCTTGAGAAAACTCAAGTTCAAATTAATTTTAAGATGCATGAATGAAGAGATTGAGGATGTCACATCTTATCAAGATTGTTACCTAGTAGGTTGACAAATGATTAAATATAAGAATTTTCTTAACAAGAAGCAACACTGGGGTCATGTCTAAATAGTTGAATAACCCTATTCATACTCAGGGCCTACACCGAAACCTTTGATTAAGAAAAGACCAACCCCATTCACTGCACCACATCTTTTGATGGTGTTCGATTAGTCAATTAAGTTGCAATTCCAAATTATTTTTTAACCGTTTTACTTTATTAGATGTTTAATCTTTTAAAGCAAACTAGGAATTAATAAAAAACTAAATATTCTCTAAATTTCATTGTTATCTTTATACTAACAACCAATTTTTCTGAATCTTGTTAGTTACTCGAAGTTAATGTCAGTGTAACAAGAACAACAATAACTAAGTTTCAATCTCAAATAGCTAGTTAATCTCATTTTTTCCTATTATGTATTAACTAATCTATGATTTTATCTTCGTGAAATTAAAATGATCGAAACGTCATACTATTAATACTTTCATTTTCAAACTCTTAATTATAGTTAGTTAAATATGTGCTATAGTGCCACTATTAGATTGAAGGGGATATACAATTTAGTTAAAGTTCCTCACATGGTTGTATATGACCTATTTTAACTTAAGAAATTAAAAAAATAAGAATAAATTAAAATTTTATGAACTCATATAAAAAAATATATCAAAAATGTAGCAAACTATCTTTTAATTTTGTGATTTATAATACATCCCAAATTGTTGTATTTTTTTTATTTGGTCTTTTAATATGGCCTTCACATGCATACAAGCACTTGTTTGGGATGAATTTACGGCTTGGAGGGCCCACCTGGTCCCTTCTCCATTAACTTTCTATGGGCTACTACTAATACCTATAATCAACACCAACTATAATTGAATTCTCAATTAATCATTTTTTCCAGAAGAATTCATTCCCCTCTTAATTAAATTAGGGTCTATCCTATATGACTATGAGATAATACTAAACAAATAGCTTAGATTAATACAAAATTAATCGCCACGACTCGTGAACGAAAGATTCCATCATCACCTAATCTTGTTGAATACTTAAAAAATAGGCAACAATTCTTCTTTCCGCCGGATTAGTATTCTTTCTGTTTAGATTTCAAAATAAGAAAATGTAAGTGAAAAGGCGGATGCCAATATCTAGATTATCGATTCTCGTGAATTCAGTATTTTGTTTTTCTAAATTATATGACAAACGAAGTTTTTCATCATAATTTTTTATAAATATCTTGAATAACAATTATTATGCTTTTTAATATTATTTACGAAATTCTCAAATATAAATCTTATATTTAAATATTTTTATCAAATTTATAATGACTTTCGAAATTCGGACTATAACATATAAATTAAGATAAAAGGAGTAGTTTTAAAAAATTACTAAAAAATTATATTATAGGAGTATTTATTAACTTAAGTTCGTATTGAGATTATAAGCTTAGAAAATATCTCATTGACGTTATGAGTTGGTAACTTCACATAAATTCATATAAAGAAATGTAACCACCAAGAAATACGGTGAAATCTACATGATCACTTTACCGAAAGGAAAAACTAAGGAGTTGTTTTCATCCTTTAACTGATTCTACACTAGACGAATTTGGATTACTCTGAATTAATCGAACTAATTAAATTTAGATTATAGAAATTTGAATTAATCAAACTAATCAATTGAGAGGAAGAATTAAAGATAAGAGGGCCAAGTCAAATGTCTGTGTAAAAGCATCGGGTGGTAGTGCATGAAGACAAAAAAAGAGAAATCAAAAGCAAGATTTTATCTGCAAAGCATCTTTCTTTGCTTGTGAATTAAGTACCTCCACCACTAAAACATAAACAAGTAAAACAGAGTCAAAACACATTTCTAAAATATTCTCATTTAACACTGAAATTAAGGAAGAATTACATTTACGGTAACTCTGTAACAACAGAATAGCAAAATAAAACCTCTAATTACTTCATTCATTTTTTGCTCCATTAAGCAACTAAGTCATTTTTGGGGAAGATTCTAGAAGGAACAGCAAACCGAGCAGAGAATGATCTAGAAAGTTCATCTTCATCAGCAAAAATAGAACTCTGATCATCGAAATTCTGGGAATAAGAATGAGGATCATAAGTAAACCGCATTGAATTTGAACAATCGAAAACTCGCCTTTTCTCTTTTCTGATCTTCCTCCATAAAAATCTCCAGATCGGTCCTTTGCTCGATCTGTTCACCGGCAACTTATAGGAGACGAACGGATCGTAGTCTCTGCCGGAGTAGCTCCGCCGCCAACTGATGTTTCCGGCGTCGGAATCGCACCATGAGTCGATCTCCATGAGAGTAGACAAAACAGAGTGAGAATTTGGGGATTTATGAGTTGTGAGTGAGTAAGCGTTTTTTATGGCTTATAAAAGAAGGTAAATGCAAGGTGGGGATACAAAGTGGACTATTTATAAAGAGGAAAACGATGTATCTCTACAGTCCAACTGTATAGTTAGTTGTTGTATAAAATGGTCCAACTCAAAAAAATGGCACGTGACATGTTCAGGGGTAATATAGTCATTTCGGTTCGTTTGGTTTAAAATAAAATTATTTTAAAAATATAATCAAACTTACCAATCTTCTATATAAGAAAAACAATATCATAATTGTAAATATAAATATAAATTTTCTCGTGGTTTACTAATATCCTTAACCAAACATAAGATTAAATTTTATATCAAGATGAGCGGATAATTCACTTAGTCCTCCTTACCAAACGATACTTTAGGAGTAATTATTTTTTAATTAAATCAGCTGTAATAAACTGATGATTAGTTTGCTGATTATTTTAAAGTTGTTGAGTTTTAATAGATCTATTATCGCTAATCATGTAGATATCATGCAATTAATTGAGATGTTTGACTTGATCATTTGATGAGATCACATGGTCGTTAATTTAGACAACTCAAATTGTGCACTAATGTTTATGTTCCTAACAATATCAATACTATGTCTCGGTCTAATTTTTTATTTTATTTTTAATATAAAAAATAGCTTTCATACTTTTCCCATTTCACTTGAGCTCATAAATATATTAATAACCAAAGTTATCTAGGTGACTCTATGAATTTTCGCGATTTGTATCACTTCATTTAGCTCAAGCTGATTCTTATGCTTAATGATGCTAAAATATTCGAGAAAAAAAGTATTTGTATCCTGCTATTATTATCTTCTAATTTAAGCTCTTGAATTTTTTATTATTTTTTTACTATTAAATTGGTTGAATTCAGAATAACTCTTCTAAGTTGTTCGGACTCTAATACAAGTAGTTAAATGCATAAAAATTCAAAAATAACACAATAATTGAAAATTGAATAGGCCAGCGGACGTGGTCCCTTGCAGAGAGCAGAATGCATCAAATCAAAGTAGACATAACAGTAGGAAAAGAATTTTATGTGGGCTGGTGAGAGGTGGGCCCAAATGAATTTAATAGGCTTTCTCTTACTTACCTGTATTTAGGCCCATTATCAGCATATGAGCCACGGTAAGATTTGCATATATAGCATGTTTCAGTAGTAATTATTCCTACTAATTAGATTTGTGGTTAGTATTAGGTAGTAAAATTTTTAACTAACGCAAAAAATTTAAATTGATAGATAAAACTTGTCTTAAACTAAAAATTATCAATTTTTTAAAAATCTATATGAATTGCCAGAATTTGACCACAAATTCTGATGATTTCAAATTGATGGGCAAAGCTTATTTTAGCAGATCACTAGGGTTTATGGTCAAATTTTGATAGATTGCCATAACTTTGACGAATCATCAGAATTAGTTGACTACAGAATTTTAATGGATTACCAAAAATTGGACCACAATTTTGATGAACCATCTGAAGTAATTGACTATAAAATTTTAACAAATCACCAAAAATTTGACCACAACTTTGACGAATCATCAGAACTAATTGACTACAAAATTTCAATAGATCACCAAAAAATTTGACTGTACCAATGGATTGACTCTAATTTTCTTTTACCAACTATAAAAAATAGAATAAATTTATCATCCATTTAAATAGATTTCAAATACATACTTCTCATTAAAAAGTCTGTCCAAATTTAAACAATCTACAATGAACTAATTTACGTCATTTTTTTGACACGTTAAAAAAAGACAAAATAAATTACTTCAAAAATATTTTCTTAGGAAATAATTTATCCATTATGTGTTACTTAATACACAGACATATATCCAACACAAACTTGTATCAAATTCTAAACTAATCAATCCTATCGATTGTATGTATTTTACTCCCTCTGTTTGAATCGATTTGCTCGATTCAACATCTAATATTATAATTAGAATGTTTAAAATATGCATAAACACTTAAGTTATTATTTATTAAATTATATATCATGTAATGTTATATCTGGGATCGGATAAGTACGTGCTCTAGATCGCCCGACGGGACAAAGTTTCTATTAACAGAGCACAAACGAATATAAAACAAGTGGTTGGAATCTTCGGCAGCCGCGTCACTAAAGATTTTCAGTGCCAAACAATCGAAACCAAGCCAAGTGTACTCCAAACAGATAAGTCTTCTTAACAGAAAAAAAAGGCACTTGATGATTCCATTTCCATAGTCTTTTTCTGTAGCTAACAAAAAACAAAACCATATTTCCCACTTGCAAAAGCTAAAGAGAAAAAAGCAAACCGCCCAGTCCTTATCCGTGATAATAAATAGGAATCAATCTAAAGCTTCTTTTAACTAAATTTTTTTAGTAATATACGTTTCCACTTTTTTTCTACTTTAATTTTCTTCTCATCCTTCCCTTTCCTTTTTCGATACTCTATAGTTATATATTCGTTAAATGTCAGTCAGGAATTTCATCATCGAATAGAAGATGTGCTACTCAGGGATTCCTTATTGGATTGACAAAAGAGAACATATTGCAAGGGAACAGGTTCCTCTACAGGCAACTGCAGAATCATCAACTGGAAGCAGAGGAGTAGTTGCTGGTGCTGGAATGGCGAAGCAGTGTATTTGTTCACCAACAATCCATCCAGGATCGTTTAGGTGCAGGCATCATCATGCTGATTATAAATGGGTTGTTCCACTAGGAAATAAGCAGAATCACTTTCGTGCTTCTGTCGCCAAGGCTCTATGACAATTCTGCTGTACAAATTCAAATTGTCATTTGTAATTTTTCGTTTTTTAATAACATGTGGATGATCTTAAATATTTACTATGTCCCAAATTTATGTGAATCTTTTTAGTTACAAAAAGAGATTTGCAATTATTATTGTTGTGATATGTGAATTTAGTGTCTAACGTACAACCTCTCAAATAAGAGAGGGGCCTCACAAAATTTTACAAAAGGATTTAAGAAGGTAGGGACAATAACGTTGTGCTCATCATTTTGCATTGGTGAACTACTGAAACAGCCCCCACCACCACTAATTTCTTTCTGCTCAACTTTCGTAAGCTAATTCAACTTTATGTTCCAAAATTGTTGAGCAGCTGGAAGAAAACATTAAGAGTTATAAACATATTGAACAAGAAGTAAACAAAAAGAAAAGGAGAAGACAAGTCAAGATAGTTATTCTAAACCTCAATTTCAATTTCTTCCAAATTTGGAGAGTTTCTAATCAAGCAAAGAATACATCAAACTTCACGAAATAAATTCCTTAATCCGTGAAAACTATGAATCAATCTAAAGCTTCTTTTTTTAGTTATACGTTTCCACTTTTCTACTTTTCTTCTCCTTCCTCGCAAATTACGATACTAACATGGTTATATATTGTTGGTGCTGGTGAATTATTCTCCACTATTTCATCATATACAGATGTGCTACTCAGAAGTTCCTTATTGGGATGGTAACCTTGACAAAAGAGCACATCGAGGACGATATCTTTCTCTTGTGCAGGCACAGGTATAAGCAGAGACGGATTCAAGATTTAAATTTTTTGATTTCATATCTAATATTTATTACAAATTTATTGGATTTTTACACATAATGTGTATCCGGTCCTGCAGGTAAGCATAAGAGGAGCTGATAGTGCTGAAACGAAGAAGTTTGAATGTGTTTGTTCCCCCACAATCCATCCAGGTTCATTTAGATGCAGGCATCATCGTGCTGATTATAAATGGGTTGCTCGACTCAGACACAAAGCCTAATTTCTTAGGCTACTTCTGTCACCAAGGTTCTATCACAATTTCGCTGTACAAATTAAAATTATCCTTGTAATTTTTCGTTTTGGATTTCATTGAATTGAACTTTTTAAAAAATTAATCAGACACTCTTTTTTAACTTTTTGTAATTTATTTATTGAATTGAAGATATATCAGAAAAATAAGCTCTTAAAAGCCTGTTATAGATGTTGCAAGATTTTCATTTAGGACATGTGAGTTAATGTTTGTGTACCACTTGCCTAACATAGAATCATCTCAATAGGAGAGGGGCCTCATGGAATATTGTAAAGGGGTTTAAGAAGGTAGGGGCAATGTCGTGCTCATTGTATTGCATCGGTACCCTCAAAGCAGAGTGTACTCCCTCAAATTATCTATCGTGATTTTTTTAAAAATGTACCTTAATTAGGAAGAAGTTTTAACTATTTTATCCTAATTGAACAATCATAACATCACTGCATAATTGAGGTATCTGTAGTCTTCAAGTACAATTACTATAAAGGTGAAATCATGAGAAACAATTACTTTTAGAAAGTACAACAAATAATTTGAGACACGGAGTATTGTGTCGTTATATTGGCATGGTTTTCCTAGAACAAATGGTACATGCTACTAGTATTACAGAAAGAACACGTCAGACGTGTGAATGTTGTTCCCCACAAACATGAAAAGCCTTGATAATTACAATAATGGGGAGCCCAATATGCAGTTCACTAAAACTTGGGATAATCGAAACCCTTGAAACGTAATCAAACGCACACCAATTCCATAAAGATCATAGAGCATTTACAAGGCCTCGAGCAGAGTTTGGATACTTGTCCTCTTATCCATTTCCATTAATTCACAATTCCATCACAAACCGAGTCACTGTTAGCAAAAGACAACAATGTTTATTTCCGGGCAATTACATTATAAATATGATGGTACATGAGCAACAGCTATCGTACATTTTGGCTTTCACATAACAATGTGGGGTTTTATAAGATAGCACAGAGTACTTGAGCAGAAACTTCTGGGAAGTAGCTAAAAGCTTAACAGTAATACTCCTATTTTGATTGATCTATGACAAAACAAATACCAGCTAGACATCAGGACACAGAACAAAATATCATACCTCAGGGTAGCAGTTCTGATGAGAAATTGTTTCATTGCGTGTGTCCACAACAATTTCACACACCACTTTTCCCTGAAAGAACACGATGAAAATATATTAAAATCTTATTTTGATTTACAGACTAGAATATCTCAATGAACAGTGTTGACATGCACTTTCAGGCATGACTGTGTCCAATTGACCATCACCTGAATACTGCATTTAGGAGAAAGGGAGCTTTGGAAACTTGGGTTCCAACCAAAAAGCGATCCCTCTCACCAGGAAAAAAGTTTTAAGAGCTTAGAATATTGCATAGTCAACAAGTTTAGGAGCTTCTGATTAGCCAGTATCTAGGAGATCATCAATTAACTGGTGATCTCGATAGCGTTCATTGTTCAAGATGAGATATTTGAAAGAGAAATCGAGCCAACAGCAGCGAAGAAGATGCAGAATACAGAATACCGACATGAAACAGCCATTAAGCCTGTTAGAATCAGATCCATAGAAGACATAAATCTTACGACCATTCTCTTGTACCTAGTACTTCTACAGTCAGTAGCATAGTTTATCCTCCTGATAAAGCTATTTTCTTAGTTGACATCAAGTAGACAATGATAACATGTGGGTTCACTACAGTATCTCAAAACAATAACACCATTAACCATGGGAAACGAGAAATCTTAGAAATTAATACGTCATACAATGAAATGATCAACCATGCTACCATGTAATGTCAAGTATCAAATCACTTCTTCTGGTGCAACAAGGTTGTTCACTTCTATTATGCATGACTATTAGGAGAAGGGTTAAAAATATGAGAATTTTGGTATTAGTTGAGAAACACATAAGGGCGAATCATCGTTTTTATTGTAAAATTTCAGAAAAGATGAACTTGTATGGAGAAAAAGTTAAATGAGGCTCTTGAAACTTTTTTTAATGGTACTTACATATGCAAAAACTTTTCTTTTAACAAAATTAGACAACAGCATGGGATAAAGAACATTTTGGGACAAAGAGAGAATACAGGAACAAGGGATCTTTTAGAAGACAAAATAAGCATTTATCAGACTGAAGAGTGCCATTCTCAAGAAATACCTCAGATATCCTAACACACGAAAACAAAATCATGTATTGACATAGTTCCCCGATGTAAATTACTCACTAAAGTTTATTCGCTGTCTTTTTCTTTACCCATGTATATCTACACATAATGAACTTTCCAATCCCGTTAACCCAAAAGACATTTTCTCCACGCTAACACTGTCTAATTTTTTCTTTTGATATACGTGGTATCCAGGCCAGTTAGCACGCACCCCGACTGATTCCAGGGATACGTGCCACCTCCCACCACAAGGCTAGGACAGATGAAAACATTCACCTAGTGCTTTTGTCACTGTTGAAATTTAAACTTGAGATTTCATGATTCTTTAACCCACTTCATTGACTACTAAGCCACATCCTTGGGTGCTTCGGGTATATCATTTATCAAGCAAGTTTACACAGTAGCTAAACTAATATCCAATCCGAAAAAATGATGGAAACAGATATCAATTAAGTTATGCAATGGCAATAGTAGAGTTGAAAGAATATACCTTTATGGGAATATCAAAGAGGACCAAGCCAAGCTCACCACCAATCTGAGTAACAGTATCAAAAGTAATAGAGCCCCTAGCCAAATCCTCAATCAATGGAATTAAATCAGAGAAAATGCTAATATCGGTTAGCTCAAGCGTAGCGTTGACATAGGAAGATGCCCTAGCCTTAATACGGCCATAATCAGATATAACGTGCCCGAGCTGCTTACCCCTATACCCTATAGAAATCACTACATAACGGAAATTGACGGAATAAAAATCTTTATTACGAATCTTAGCAGTGACATCCAGGGTAACGTCGATTGCAATTTTGGGGAATGAATGGACTTTAAGGTGCCGGAGCTTGAGCCGGGCAATGGAAAGTTCCGGATCAGAGGGCCATAGAAAGAAAAGTGCGGCGGAGAGGAGGATGAAGACGGCGGCGCAATAAACGTAGCGACGGGTAGGTCGCCGGAGGAATTGTCGAGGGGTACGGTAGTATTGAGGTAGAACGATAATGTATTGGGGTTGTTGGTGTGGTTGGGGTGGATAGGAGGGGAGGGGGTCGTAGAGGGGAGGGGGTGGATCGGAGAATTTAGAGGAAGCCATTGATGAGGGGTTTTAGGAGTTCAAGGAGAGAATTAGGACCGGAGATATAAGGAGGACGAGGAGTCTTGTATAATACAAGTTAGTATTTTACCCAACTCATGTTGGCTGTTGCGTGGTGGTTTAATGATGTATGTCAATTGAAATCAACTTGCGCTGATCACGGAATTTAAGAAATATGGAAAAGAACCCGTTTAAATTGACTTAAAAAAATTAGTTTTTAAGTTAAAAATAAAAAATTAAACTGAAATGATTTTTAAGTCAAACAATAAAAAGTAGGGGGCGACCCACTTTTAGTTTTTGACTTATTTTAAGTCATTTTCATCTTCCCAAACACTTCCCAACTTATTTTAAGTCATTTTTTACTTATCTTAAATTATTTTTTATATTTGTCAAACAAAGTAAAAAATTGACTTAAAAGTAGGTTTGACCAACTTTTAAGTCAATCCAAACACCCTCTTACATGTTTTAAAATTATCTTTTAAAAAATAAGAAACATAAATATGCGTGTTAGTCGGATAGAGCTATCAGCTATTATAAAAGGGCGAGAGAAATTGAAAAAATAAAATTATTAAATAGTAAGTTAAGTAAAAAATGAGAAACAAATTTAAGATAACCATATGATCATACATTAAATGAATAATTTTACATAAAATGAGATTTTTGTCATTACGAGCGATGGATTTAACGATATGAACAATTAAAACAAACTTTGCGTAATACAATCTGATGTCTAAAGTTGCTTTCACATTTTCTTTTTTCCTTTTTGCAACTCAAACTCAACATCAAACCCATCCATCATTTGTGGCATAAAACTGGCAAAATCCAGCCTTCAAAACCAATAAACCATGATTAAATCAAATCAACCTGCATCTACCTCAAGCGAGAGGCAAGAAGATAAAGTTTCCTTAATTAGAAATCTCTGTAATTTTACATTATCTAATCAAAATTCTCAAGCATTTATTTGGACCTCTAATTTCTATAACTTTCACATCCTTTGAGATGATCTATAACAAGAATATTTTAGGCCAAAGTCATTCATAAACGAGAATGGTGAAGTTCCTGTTGCTCTTTCAAGTTCTTGGTAGACTTGAATTGGCACAGCTGCGTCTACCGAGAGCACATAATTCTGAACTTGCTGGGTTCTTGACAAATTCTGCCGTAAACTCAAATCTTCTTTGATCCATATACGAGAACAGTACAAGCAATGAAATAAACTATCAATCAAAGGGCAATGCAAACGAGTACACGGTTTATACTACAACTTGTATACAGTGTCATCAAAATCATGTGTTGTCATTTCTATTACGATGCTTTGCGATAGACCTCAAGTCTCTGTACATATCTGCACAGGCAAGAGAATATTCTGACATTGCCCCGAAAAGCTCAGGCAAGCGGCTTCTCAGGCTTGTCAAAGACTTATCTCTCACCTGAAGACATTGCCTCTGGTATGAGTCCTCCTCGTCCTCAAGCTTCTTCCTCAGCGCCTCTAATTGTAGCTGCCGATCAACCACAAGAGTATCTTCCTGCGCCGATTCTGGATCTATTTCATCTGGGGTTTTACGCTGCATATGCTTGTGATACCAATCCTCATATTGCCTAGTCTTCTTGTTGAGCTCTCTCCGAGTATCCTCACACCTGTCCCTCAGCTTCATCTCCTCCTTTTGGTATTCAAAGATAGTATTTATGACAGCTGAAAAGTTATAAATAGCAGTTCTAGCCAACTCATCAGGAAGCTTCTCAAGATAATCATGCCAGGCATGTATAAGTGCCAAAATTGGCGGATTTTGGGGCCTTTGTGGCGACGAAACCTTTTCTTTCAGATTTGTGTCTATAGGGATGAGATTTAGCTTTAACCAACTGTTAAGAGCTTTAATATACTGTTTTTGGTAGATAACCAATTTGTCAAA